ATATACAGAGGTGTATATCGATGGACGGAAGCTACTTCTAATATTGTTCCCCAGGAAATTTGAATATTGATTATTTATCTGTATTTTTATACTATTATAATCATCTTCTTGATGATACAATCAACCCTTTTGATTCATCTCTTTCGCGGTTTCCCGCGAGTTTATTTGATAGAGAATGATAGAACCTAATTTAAAGATTCTATTTAAGACCAAAGTCAGGCTGCTGCTTAACATCACTGTCATTAGTAGCCGGACTTCGCTTCTATAATTTAAAGCTGACCGCTCGATTGCCTGAAAAATTCGCTGGCTTGGTACTTTATTAAGAATATTGGATTTGAAATTCCATGAAATTCTCTCATACATATTTCTTTCGCTTGTGCATCAGAGCCCAGCATTTCGCTAACACATGGAATGCTGTTTCTCTCATTTCTCTACAATATCTGCAGTTTGGATTCCAAACTTTGTTAGGTGATTATTCAATCTACTGTGACTGATTAGTTTTTTCGTAATTATTCTTAAGTTATTCTTTGTTTTTTTGTTTGTTGTATGTGATCCTTGAAGCCTTTTAAGTTGTAATAATAAAATAAAATAAATAAAACTCGCCATATAGAATCAATAACTTTTTATTCTTAATTTTTCGTTCAACTTTTATTTTTGTAATTCAAAAAAAATATTTTAAAGTACAATATTTAATTAAATAACTCGAACTTAAAAATAAAAAAAAATAAAAAAAAAGAAAAATGTATCTTTCGTTAGTGAAATATTTTGCATATTATCACAGTACAGAACTTGTCATCACTGCCATAGACAACTGCAGCGCAGCTAAGACAATACGACTGTGAGGTTTGCTGTCACTGTGCATTATTCAAGTGAAATCTATGAAGTCGCCATGTTTGGTGCCAAACGTCAGACATCCAGCCATTGCACTATAGTGGCCAACTACGACGTTTGGAATTCTCTTTTGTACGTCTATGCCATCTATGCCAACAAATTTTAATGCGCAAGAGCAATTTTTCCAACTCATATCTTTTCTTAAATGCAAAAAGTGAAATGCACACACAACTCCAGAGTTGCTTATAAATGTTCCTAAATAGACTTGTACATACTTGGACAACAAAAACAAAGCAAAAACAAAAAAGATACAAATATATCCGCATATGCACGAGTATCTACGTACTTGTATCTATGTTGACGCAGTTGTATGTGTGGCTGAGTAAACTGGGAGCCAAATGCAATTTAGCTAATGAATTTTAATATTTTACGCTGAAGCAACTGAATGAATTTTCATTTTCACATTATTGCACTTTAGTTGCCATCTTATGCAAAGTAATGTGTTGATTATGTCGATAAGTGCAGAACTGCACTGTGTTCTGCAGAGCCATAGTGCTCTGCAGCGTTCTATAGTTAGGACTGTGAATTCCTATGATACTGAGAACAGCTCAAGCAAAACCTTATAGACCAATGCATTTGTAGCAAATAAGTGAATAAGTGAATTAGTAAAACTTGAACTTTAAAATAAAAATATTTTATCTAATGATCCATTTGTATACAGAGCACGCGTATATGCCAAAACGATATGCAAAATTACGTTTGACCAAACTTTTTTTTCCCTCGTCAAATGTTCAGACCAGAATACTAAAGTGAAAAAGTTGCAAACCTCATACGAATGCCAGCTTTCCAACGCCGCTGATAGCGGCAACAACAATGCCAAATTGAAACAATTTGTAATCTTTAATTAAAGATGAAAATACAAATAAAAGGAAATTCACACATCATGTGCTGCATTGTTCCTTTTTTCAATTTTATTGGATGTATTTTTCTTTTTTTTTTTGCTTAAATGGTCTGGAACTGTTGGTGGTCAAAAGTTCGCATGCACAAATGTCGCACATTGTTTTCAGTGATCCATATGAGATGCTGTCTGCGACTGTATATATACAAGTATCTGAACGGCTCCCTCTCCCCCAACTCTTACATGGTAACATGACATGGCATGCATATTCATCGGAGACTGTCGAACTCATGGAAGAGTCTTGGCTCGTTCTCTGCGTACATTCGCAAATATGAATAAATATTTTTGATATCTTTTGCAGATATTTTTAAATAAACAAAAATGTATGCAATATTCATTTATTCAGACATTAAGAATTTTTCTTGTATTTTAATGCATTTTAAAATTTATTAAAATGCTTGTTACTCAACACTCAATTAAAGCCTGAAAATATAACAGTGAAAATGTGCAAAAGTAATCCAGTAACTCACGGTCCAAGAATGTTCAAGTAAAATAATATTACATACAATATACATAATATTAATTCTATAAAATAATAAACATAATTACATTTATACTGATATTGTTTATTCTACTAAATATGGAATTGGAATTTTCTACTTCAAGTCCATTAAGTTATGATAGTTAGTACTAAATGTAACGTTTAGTTAGTTATTAAAAAATAATTTATAGTGAACTGTCATTAAAATTAAATTATTATTGGAGTAAATATGAAAATTATAGTAAATTCTCAACATATTTACATCAATTCAATTAAATATTCACAAAAAAAGTGCAACTTTAGCTAATGGTTGTAAAAAGTAATTAATAAATTGCTATGCAAATTGCATACATAGTTTTTATTCATTAAGATAACATTAAAATACTGGATGAGAGTCGTAGTACGTTTTATATCGAAGTAGAGTAACATAACTCAAGATATATTGATAAGGAGAGGCATAAACTAGTTTAGTGATATTTATATTTTCTGGGAAATATAAGATTTAAAATATTTATTAACTATAATATTTTTAATTGGATTATATACATAAAATAAAATTCTAAATATTAAAGAATTTGTAACATTTAGAGTTAAAATAAATACAATTAAAATTACAATTAAAAATTTGGAATTTAATCGAATTTAAAAACACATTAGCAGATTTTTATCTAGTACAAAAAAAGTACTAATAATACAGTTTAAATATTAGCAATAAATAAAATAATTATAATAATATATAGGAAATTTGAACAGTTGCAAACTATAACAATAAAATTTTATTATCTATTAATTCATTATAAATTAATAATAAAATTTTGTTGTTGTGATTTACTACTGTTCAAAATACCTTTTTATCGAAAACAATAGTTTATATTAAGAATTTAGTTTTTTTCGTCAAAACGGACTTTAAATTAAAACAAGAATTATAATAGTTTACAATAAAATATAAGAATAAAAAATAATAAAATAATAAATAATAATAATATAAATATATTAAAACCTTAAGTGGATACAGACTAGTCTATTAAAATGCATTAAATAACCGAATATTTTATTACACATATCCTAGCAAGATTAAAACATTCCACTATGGAAGCCCACTATGGGATTAAAAAGTTTGGAGGATATACCAGATATAGTAATTCAAAAAATTATCTCTTACATGAACCACAAGAATTAGTTTTAAAACTGAGATTTTCATGACAGTGTATGTGGCCATAAATTATTCTTACTAAAATAACAATATATAGTATATATTTCCTCAGAAAGATGTGGGACACTTTAAACTATACTTCTGTAAAATCACATGAATAATTCATTTTTGTAGTTCAATGGAGACCACCTAATTGGATCCAGAAACTATAGCGAAAAAGTATTTTACACACTAACTCGTCTAAATATCATCAATGACAAAAAAAAAGACTATAACAGTTTATCTGTAAGATCTATTGTACTATTGTACCTGGAGAAAGTACCTGCAGAAAGAAAGTCAACCAACACATATTAATATTACCGGCAAACCAAATAATATTATTAGATTATTTTAAAGATCACAGAACTTATTTCTATGTGGTAACAAAATAACGCTTATGTGTAACTGGAACAGAAAATAAAGAATTGTCATCACTCAAACCCACCCAAGCTATAGTGTTCATATGATAAAATATATTATACAACACTTTTGTACATATTATGTAAATTTATCTTCTAAAAATCGGCTCTTCAAAAAAAATGAATATACAGTATATTCTTGAAAGCACATAGGTTAATTGTAGGCAACATCAATCATATATGCTTTTTTATCGACATTTAAACAGCAATTTAAATGTTTTAATTCTCCACCGTAAAAGCAAAGGTAGAAGGATGTCACTTTCAATTTGGTTTCCGTACTTAAAAACATTTAAGGGAAACGCTTTTAACTGACTTAGTGCTTTGTGGTCTATACATACTTAAACTATCTATGGTTCTATATTCACAAAGAGTACTATATATTGTTTAGCCAGCTAATAGCATCTAATAATACATAAATGATATCGCATATGTGATTTACCGATCGGAATCTGACAACAAAATCAGATCCTGCGAACTCATTAACAGGGATAGAGTGAATATTGCCAACAGCTGCTGTCTGTGGTCACTGGTGTATGAGAGCCCATACAGAGAAAATGTGCTGTGCATCTAATTAGAGCTGTTGTGCAAACCTAAGAGACGAATAAACAATCCAGAATATCCTTAGTAATTACCTAGCTTTCGGTACCAAAAGTTATAGAATTTTTGGAAAATTTAATCGGAAGACCGAGGACATGTTTGAAGTATAATTTTTTGATTACTTAAGATCTGAACTTTTATCAAATCAAATATGCTAAACGACCTCTGCTCATCATAACATCATGTTAAGTATATAACTTATTGATTTTGAGAAGCTGCAGAATGACGGCATACTTGTTTGGGAGAATTATTGCGGTAATCGCACTATTTCGTATTGAGTTTTGGAATGACATATGTTATCCAAAAGTAACAAAACTCTTTTAAAACAGAAACTAAGAAAAATCTTTTTGCGTCAAAAGCAATTAAAGCAATTGCGCATTTGCAACTATTTATGTATATTGTATCTGTATCTTTAAAAAAATCTGTATGAAATATGCGAATTTTTTTTTATTTCTACTCATAGCTTGAAAAATTCACATTAAAAAACGATTTAACCTTTTCTTTTTCTTTTTATATTTTCAGACTGGATGGGAAGTCCTTTTGAACGCGTTGTCTGTGGCGATTTTAATGGTAAGTGTAGCATTGTTTTTTATTACTTTCTATGGCTACTCATGGTTTTTGACATTGAGTTATATTTATAAGCAATATTTGATGACTCAAGGAGTTACAGGCTGTATTAAACTAAAACTTAAAAAACTGTTTTCCCGGTTTTTTACTTTTTTTATTTTTTTATCTATTAGTTGTCATTGAAATTAATTTTTTCAATGTATCTTGTTTGTTAGTTAAACGTGAAATGTGTTTTTTTTTACCTAAACATTCATTTCACAACAGCGTTTCTGTACTTTCTCCAGCATAAACCCTTCATACGATTCTTTTGTAATATTTTTTTTTAATGGAAGATATTTTGACTTTCACCATGCATTTGTTTGCTTTGTTTTATAGTCATAAATAAATCCTTTGAAGCCAAAAGTACAAAAAAATACTGAATTTGAAAGATAAAAAAAATTTTAGGTCTTACCTGTCCAATTGCAGTCGTTTTTTAACTCTTGTTAAACATCTTTCTTTTCCCAATGACTTCATTCTGGAAATGTTCATAAATTTCAGATTAAATTACTTTTAGTTTAAATTCGGAACTTATACGAGTCTTGCGTGGATTTTATCTAAGATATAATGAAGTTACTTCGAGCAAAAATAGTGAAATTATTTAATGAAATAGAAAGAAATTAATATAAGAATAATTCTTTTTATTTATGGTGAAGACATGTAAATCAAGCAAAACTTAAATAAAAGAATTTTAAAATATATATATATTTTTTGTATATATGTATTTAAAAAATATGATATACAATATCATATTCCAGAGTTCCATTATTAATGGCAGTTTAAAAAAATTGATATAATTTTTTATGATTTGTGATAATTTCAAAGTAATTTCTTAAAAAACAAATGGATTAGTGTTTTTAAAGATGTGTCATGTACATATATGTACATACACACATAAAATGTGATATATTTGTGTTCCTTATGGATTTATATGCGATATATAATTTATTTATGTCTACAATATATTAATGATAAAGGATGCGTTCCACAGCATGAGTGCAATTCATTTCTACTCAAATAATAACAGTTCGGTAATAAAATATATTCAAGCATTTTAAATTCAATTTATATTTTTATTTATATATCTTTCAATTATATTTCCATTCATTTTATTTATTGAAAGAAATAAAAAATTTTAGTCCACCATATTGAAACTACCTATAGAATTTAAAATATTAATATTATAACATTATTTATCTCTGTATCTATAGATATATCTATACCCATTTATACCCATACCCATATACCCATATATATATACCCATATATATATATATATCTATCAATATATACTATTTATAATTTATAATAATTAACCCAATGTCTGTACAAATAATTTATAATTTACTATGTTCTATATAATATAAATAAACGATGTTGTTTAAATTCCTTTTTGTAGGAAAATTTGAAGAGTTAGTATAAAGGAAGTAGAACCTAAACCAACTAAATCGAGATTTAAATTTCATAAATAGTTAAAATTTAAAAAACTGAAGAAATAGGAAATATAGAAAATTTTTTAAAAAATTGCAGAATGCTTACCTGCATAAATCGTAATCAATCCATAATTTTTTTCTTCCATTTCCTCCTTTATTTTATTATTTATTAAATGTTTGATACGCAGATAACAATGAAGAAACTGTGTTGAGAATACAGATTGCGATTTGCTAAAGAAATCTAGTGATATAGAATAATATTTTATTAAATTTCAGAAGGAAGAACTACAACTAAAGAAATAAGATTGTGTTGTTTTTTTTTTAATGATGGGATCTCTCAGCTTCTGAAGAAAATCTAGTGTTACTAAACTTATATTAATTAAGGCTTGGTGGATAATAAAGTTCTTAAGGTGATCATGTAGCTGTAGCTATTCAACAATAAGGAAACAGCTGTGTGGTCAGTTTAAAACAGTAGTTCAGTAGTTCAAATGAACTTTTTTTGTTGTTAAGTTTCCTGTCTATAATTCTTCAATTATTATTATACACGTCATAATACCTATTGTGTTATTTCTGGGCTTATCTAGATCCAGGCTTAAACTTATAAGCGACTTAATCCTCAACTCAATGGTATTTTCAACACTAAACTTAGCAAATATTTTAATAATACGTTTGACTGATTTTTAAAAACTCAATCTATTAACCAAAATTACAACGAATATAAAGTCAAAAAGGCTTGCTTAACTATTTGGGAACAATAATATCCAATTTCATCTACTTCATCTACTTTTAAAAATTTTACAAAATATATACTTTTTCTTAGACTTAAACATTTTAGATAGCATGATTTTTTAACAGTATCTTCTTAGTTCATTAAATGATTCTATTAATATTAACTGCCATATGATTAATTATATCAGAAATAATAGATTTATACTATTTAATCATTATTAATGATTATTAGATTATTTAATCATTATTAATGATTAAATAATTATTAAATTAACTTTAATAATGATTAAAGTTAATAATAATTTATTTATGATAAAAATTTATATTCTAGATCTGCTTAAATTACTATAGTTAAAAATTTTTTTGATACTAGTTCATTATTTTTAAATTTTAAACAAAATATTAAGTCTATACGACTGTTTGACATAATTAATTATAATTAAAGGCAATTTTATTAATTGAACAATATTTTAAAAATATATTAATACAACAGTTATATGATATTTCATACCTTGCATTAAAAGTTTAGTATAATAAAAACTGACTTCTTCAAAAATTAATCAGAAATAAAGGAAGTTATGTTAGTACGCAATGAATAATTATTATATATAAGTACATAAATAATGTCATATTTATTTATATGTAAATTATATATAATTACTTTTACTATTTGTTACTAATTTTTTTAAATTAATTTTAATTTTATTTATATATAACTAACTATATACAAATAAAGCATGGACTCTGTTCTTTAAAAAAATTCGAACAATATATTTATTTTATTTTTATAATTGAATATAAAGTTCTGCAATATAAATAATATATAAAGTAATATAATTCAATATATTTTCTGAGATCTTTAAATTAAGACTTTAAATGAAACTGAAATTAAAATTCTGTGGATTGAACCACATTGAACCATGCACTATAAATCATTTCAATAGGACACACTTATCGCTGTCAGTCACAATTCATTTAGATTTTTAATAAATAATGTCTCTATATAAATATGTATACATAATTGTTAATAATAATAAAAATTTGATAACAAAATCAATAAAAAATGTTTCAGTAAACATTTATTTATGATTGTAGGCTTTTATGTTCAACTTCCACGAACAACACAAGTAGTGCGGATACATGGAAAATACTCGGGCAAGTAATGCCGTAGTGCTGATTAGTTGGTTAGAGAGAGAGAGAGAGATAGAGAGAATATATACAATATAAGAAATCAACAACTTCTTAAGTACATTTTATTTGCACAATAATTGCTTCTTATAATTATTAAATTACAATTTGATCGCTCTTTCAATAGCTGAAATCAAATATTTTTAATTGTAAACACGACGTCTACAAGTCTATTTTTTGCTCAGTTTGTATTTTGTATGCTGAGTATTTCATTTCGTGTGAAATGAGATCATTTTTCATGGGACTATAAAACAAAAAAAAAATAAAATAAAATAGATTTCTTTACGTTCCATTTTATTAACCACTTGCAATTTAACAAGACGATATCGTTATCGATATCGATCATGACGATAAACGTTTGTTGATAATGATCAAAGCGATTAGCCAGACATAGATCATAGACATAGATTTACAAGTAGTAAATCTCATTAATAGGGAAAACCATTCCATGACGATTATATATATTCCTTTTAAGACATGTAAATGTATCTCAAAATGTTGCGATTGGTGTTGCTTTTATTAGTTATGCTTGACGGTGGGTGGTTGATCATGTATGGAGATATGTTACGGAATGCGAATAGTTTCTATTTTAGTTATTTTGGCATTTTAACTACTCGTGCGTGCTTGAGAGCATTTTTGGTAAATTTAATTGCTTTTTATTCAGTTTAAAAACTTGAATTTATTTTTGGGTGCTCTCGTGCTCTAAATTTATAAGTAATGTTATAAACTTTCAATTGTTAAATATTCGAAGTACAGATTGATTTACAATTCCTTAGAAACGGTATTAGTTTTTATTGCTGACAAATTTTTTTTTTATTAAATGCACAGTTTATGCAGTTTTTTACTGAGAAATGAAATGGTCTTATGTTTTATATTTTATACCAAGAATTCTATTTAAAATAGAAAGAAGAGAAGAGGGTGAGCAAATTTTAGAATCCACAATTTTATAATTATAGAAATATATTCCAAGACCGCTATTGGTGCATATTAAGCATTCATTGGAAAGGTTGAGTGATAGGCGAAACATTTCATTGGTAAATAATAAAAGAATAAAGAGGTTTTTCGAACAGTAGTGAATTGCACCAATAAAATTTTATTATTTAATTAATTAAAAATTTCTCTATTAAAAACAAAATCAAGTTTTGTCATAATTTCGTCATAACTGAAGTTAAAAATCAAGTTTAAAAATAAAATATTGTAGAAGAATATAATTGTTAGGATGTTTTATTTTATTTGAACTTATTATTAATGTATTAATTAGTTCAATTATTCTACAGCTGGTTTATGATTTCGTTCTAATATAAACACAGCAAGTAAAATTGGATCAGTTGGTTAAGGTGCGCTGATTCTGAGCTTCACATTTGGCAGGGCACGAGTTCGATTACGTGTACTTGCAGTCTCAAAAAATTATTTACGAATATATACAAGAACTATTTCCAAGACCATTGATGATGGGAATTTGGCAATACTCGAAACAGCTGTATGGTCAGCCAAAAATTCAATTAATTAAAATAATATAAAAAATAAATTTTTGTTGTTGTATTTCACTACTGTTCGAAAAAACCTCTTTGTATCTTTTATTGTAATTCATCTAATATAATTGTATATATATTTTAT